TACCTTTCAATTCCGGGGATGCACACCTCTAACAGGGTAAAAACTTGTTTAAAAAAGGTCAAATTTAGCCTGACATTGTAAAATTGCATTGAAAGCAAATAAGTGAACCAAAAAGCGCTAAAGTTAACATAGCTTATTTTTCCTGTACCAGCAATATTTCTACATCTTGCATTACATAGTTCGTTCTATTCTTGCCCTCTTTTTTAATTTCTTCATATTACTTTCATGCTACAATCATGCGATAATCAGCATAGAACAGTCACTCTCAAACAAATAAAACAAAATTTGGAGATCATTAGCAGGCCAAAACTGGGCTGCATTTTTTCTGTCCGAAACTGAATAAGTTACCGATTTCGGGAGCGATGATTAAAAAAAAAAGAGGAAAACACCTTTTTGAATAGCGTAACCATCGTGCTGACAAGGTCCAGTAGTGGTGCTGAGTTAAGATGCTTACGACTTAATGGACTGAAACGTCTTATCACCTAATTCTCACAGGCTTTGGCCCTTTTTTCTTCATTTTTTCCCCGTCCATTTCGGTTTTGCCGAAGCGCATTGCATATAATTAAATGCATCCCAGAGAGAAATGCACTCATTCTGTTACTGTTATTCTATAAAAGGAAAATATTTTAAAGTTGGAGGAAGAAGACAAAAGCCGATAATATTAAGAAATTAGTAAGAATCGTAAGATCTTGAAAAATATAATAGCAAGAAATTTTTTGGCCCATTAAGCCATATACATTTCTTACCATTACCCACAAGTGGACCTCATCAGTACAACGACTGTGGTAATTAGTATAAATCTGAGTTTATCTTCGAGTTAAATATACAAAACAAAAAAAAACTAACGTTTTTTGTATTTCATAGTTGTAAAAGTGGCAGTTGATTATTTCTTGCAAGTTCGGCCTTTGGCTCGCATCCAAAAGACTAGTTTTTGCCACTTCGCCAATCTTTTCAAATACTGTGAGTACACACTCCACCAAACGATCCCAACGACCGACCAGGAAACAGTTCAAACCTGTCAAATCACTTGCCCTGAAAATCACCCATGAATTAAAATTGGTATTCATAGAAGGCAATAAATAGAGGCCATTTAAGAGATGGCCGTGTTTTATTTTCACGACGATTTACAGTGGGCTAGAAATTGGTAAATGCGACAAAACACTTAATTCTTTTATTTTGACATAATGGCTTTTTAACCTGCCGGCATTAGAAGATAGAAAGGTATATTAACAAGGGACGAAATTAGAAGAAAATCAAAAAAGAAGCTTGGAAATGAGAATTAGAAAATTTGCAAAATTAACAAAATTATAAGTATTTTAAGAAAACTTGTGAAATTAGTAAAATTATAATTTTTGCGAGAAAATTTGTAAAATTAATAAAATTATAAATATTAGTGTGTAAGCTTCACCTTTCCCCCACTTCCTCTGCTTCCATCCTCTCCTCTCCTTTTCCATCTTTCTTGTTTTTTAAACTCAACGAAAATTGGCGACTTACGGAACACTCGGCAAAGCGTTGTTTTCAAGCGCAGTTCGAACAGCATCCAGGAAAGTATGCTGGCGCCCAACTTTGGTGATACAGGCTGCTGCCTCACAAAGCCATTCAATTTTTCTTTTCATCTTAAACAAATCCACCATTTTCAAATGCAAAACGTAGTGTGATTTTATGGGTTTACAGTTTAGGGATGAAACACAGGCAGCCCCTTCTTTTGCATACTACTCTTCACATGATCCTTTTATATGACAAATGGTTTACATACATTTCTCACTTAACAATGTTCTCTAGCCTTCAACCCTTTCGAATTACGGTTCTGTTGCCTCCGGCCGGACCGTTCTTCTAACTCCC